TTAGCGCAGGTCCAAACAGATAAGTTGCTTAGGAACGCAGCTAGCTGAGTTTACATAGATTCGTGGTGTTCTTTGGAAATGTCTCCTTCACCGTGTCCATCTGCTGGAGACTTACAGCACTTCTTTGTGTGAAGTCAGCTGTTTGTCTGACTGCACTCTAAAATGAGAAACAAACAGGCTGCTTTTTTTTGTTTTTAAAATGGCTTTTAAAACCCAGGTAATTTCGCACATATTTTAGAATATGGTAACAAATAGGGTGGTACAAGAGATGAAGCTGTAACCTAAATGGGATTGAACAGAAACAAGCAACAAAGAAAGAGTTTCTATTAAAATGAGCTGTTTCCACTGTGGAACTGTATTCACTAGCCCCTTTCATGTGGACAGGTAGGGTAGTATGTCATGGTGTCAGTGAGACCAGTTCATTGTGATTTGAATTTGGGATGTCTGTTACTTTTTCAGGCTATTTATGCAAGCGTTCTCCCTGGGGAGCTGATGAGAGGTTACATGTCCCAGTTTCCTGTCTTTCCCAGCTGGCTGGGGAAATTTTCATCCACAAGCAAACATGATCGTATCATTCAAGAACTGGCAATGCACATGAGTCTCAGGTAGTACTGACATTCCTCTTCTGATTTATATTGACACGGGTATTTAGTTCTCACGTAGTTCATTGCGTACCATTAATTCCTTGCTGTGCTTGGTACAAACTTAAGTGTATATTCTGTGAATATCCTCATATGCTGTTGGTGACACTTTCCTAGCACTTAATCTGGACAACAGTCAGACTGCAAACAGTTTTAATATAATCAGCAGTACTGTGACCTTTTTTCCCCCTGAAGTTGTTGTTTCTTAGTTAGGGATGTGTTTGAATACCTTGCGCTGGTTATCCCTAATGCAGGTATGGCAAAAGGAAGGCCACAGTACAACCTGCAGTTAACTCTTAAGGCAGCTGATTATCCATTTGCTGAGGGCCTGCCTACAGGTTGCCTGTGTTTAGAAGTGAGTGGTGTTGGTTGTACAGATTCACTTACTACTTTCAATTTGACAAAGAACCCAGACATGCAAGAGGACAGTAAACATGGAGTATCTGCCCTATTTGCGGGATGCACTTGTCCAGCCCTTGAAAGACTTCGGAGCAGATGGTGTGCAAGAAGCGGTAACATTCATGGACTCTTACTGCTTGATGAAAGAAGATACTGAAAATATCATGGAAATAAGCATGTGGGGAGGCAAACCCAGTCCTTTTTCAAAGCTGGATCCTAAGGTAAAATTCACTACTGAATTTTTTCCTTCCATATCTTTAAAAAGAAATCCTAAAATAATAGGTGTGGCATGGATGTGCTGCTGGAAGCAGCTGCAAATGAATAATTTTAACTGTAATTTAATCAATGGTAGTCTTTGCAAATCAGCTGTTGAACATACTACTGAAGGTTTTAAGGGTGTGTCCTAAAAGGCTGTGCTTCATTCAGCAGTCTTATACCTGTTGTTCCTGGTGTAAAGGACCACTGGGAGTCAGCTGTGTCTGGGGCATAGAGGTGAAACACAGTAGGGACAGGGAAAGCCGGTACCTTTCTACAAGGCAAGCTCCTGGCTGTAACCTGTATCACCTTCATGCATGGCGCTACCTTTCTTGCCACAGCACAAAGGAGGAGGGACACACAACTGTCTTTGTTACGGTGTGGGCACTGAATTAAGAGGCTGGCTTGCAGCTTGCATCTTTCACAGTCCAGCTAGACTGAACTGCCAGACCTGGGGGGACTTTGTGTGATGCTCCTCCAGTATTCAGTGAGCCCACTTCAGTGGTTGGGACCCTCACCTGGTACAAGGTGAGCTTAAGCTCAAGTCCCTCCTACAAACCAGGCAGGTGAGATCTGAACCATGATCTCCCGCCCAT